TGTGTGTGTGTGTGTGTTTTGGTCAGACTGCGGTAGTGCAATAAGCAGTGACAGATGAGATCTTGCCGCGGCACATTTTATTGCCTCCCTCAAGCAACTTCCCCTCTCTGGACTGAGTGTATCTTTGTGTGTGTGTGTGTGTGTGTGTGCGCACACATGTGTTTAAACTAGCATGTTTATGTCTATGTCTATTATATACTTACATTTTACTGTATGTGTGTGTATTCCTACAGGCCTGTATGTCTATGGATCCTTCAAACTTCAATGAGTGTCTTGGTGTGTTTGTGTATGCTTCACATTGTCTTTGTGTGCACTAACCAGCCTGTGTGTGTGTGTGTGTGTGAACTTATTGTTATGCTGCATCAGCGCTTGCTGCATTGAGACCCATTTCTCACACACACCCCTTACATGACCGTCATGTTACCCCATAAAACACACTACTTGCAGGCACACACACGTACACAAACACACACAGACCTCTATGTCTGCTCTAAACCTGCTCCTCTGTGTCTTGTTCTCACTCTCTCAGCCTCATTCATCTGCACTCTGCTGCCTATCACTTCTCTACTTTACTGACATTCCCTCTTCTCATTCGCTCTGAGGCCAAGTCTCTTAAACTGTAGCTTTTGATATGAAAGTTATATATAGCTTTTGAAAGACACCTCACAGGCCTAGTTTTGTAACAGGCCAATTTCAGCATTTGAATTTTATAATCTTGAATTATAGGACATCTGAAACACCATAGAAAAGTCACAAGCTTTAAAGCATAACATACAGTACTTAAAGGTGCTGATATACTATTTCATACAATTCCTACTGTAGGAAGCTCCTGCATACATTTATGCTAAGCATACTTGGCGTGCAGAATTGAGTGGACAGTCTACTCTAGAGCCTGACCTGTAAGACTGAGCAGCATCAGGAAACTGAACAGCACTGCCACACGAGTAAATAACATTCCTCATCTACTGTACGTGCCCTACAAGGTGTTCATTGTGCCTTTAAGGGCTGCTGCGGCTCGGGAGATTTAGCGGGTTGTCCACTAATCAGAAGGTTGGCGGTACGATTCCCGGCTCCTCCTGCTGCATGTCGAAGTGTCCTTGAGCAAACTACTGAACCCCCAAATTGCCCCAATGTCAGTCCAATCTGTAAGTAGAAAGAAAGAAGGGAAAGCACGGGAGGTAAGTGGGGAGTGGAAAAAAAGAGAAAAATGGATGTAGTGAAGAGGAGGAAAGAAGGTAATAGAGGTTTTGGGGAAGAATAAAAGCTGAAGAAGGAAAATAGGCAAAAAGAGTGAGAGAAGAAGAATGAAGAAAG